CCCATGCCCCTGCAGAGAAGGTCCTCCTCTTCGTTGTCCCATGGCGTCTTCTGAGAAGGTCTTGAAAAGGCTGACCAGCCTCTTTTCATATCTTCCTTTTAGATGCAGTTGGAATGTCACTCAGACAAGATAATTCTACTAAACAAGAGAAGAGCTATAATATATAGTCCTTTTGTTCAGCATTGCTTCTCAACTGCTACATTAGAAATTAACTTGTAATTGGATCTGTCTGTTGACTCAAATTCAAAGTTGTTTTTTTTTTCCTTAAACCTTAATTTCTCAAAAACTTGAGTTGATTTGGGCACTAATATGATCATAACCCATGTGTAGTTCAAACCGGTCTCAACATAAAGCACAGACTGGTGGTATAATCTAGTAAACACTTTATATTTACAAGCCAAAACTTTATTTATTAATAGAAATGATAAAACTGTTCAACAGATATTGTGGTGGCAGCATCACAGCAATTACTGACACATTAAACGTTTCCTCATGCAGGACTTTTGCAACTGTCATTTATTATCTTGTTGTTTTAATATCACTTGTTAACAATAAATATTTATCAGTTTCATATTAAAAGTGCTGTCTCTGTCAGTTTATCACAACACAGAGTACCACAGTAAAGCAGACTCTCCAGTTCAATGTTGTGCAGAACTGCAGGCCAAAATCACACTTCACACTTTCCCTGGCGAGTTCAGCAGATTCCTTCAGCTGATCCAAGCAGATGCATTTCTTTTAATATAACAGCTACCTTATTTTTTGCTTTAATCTCAACAAACAATATTTAGGCTACTGCAAAAACACAACTGGTTACAGTTTTATGCAGCCAGTTTCTTCAATCTGTGAAATTAATTAACAAAGAATAACCACTTCTTAAATGTAGCTTGTAGCAGTTTTGCCTCTTAAAATTTTGCACAGCTGAAAATTATTTTGTACAAATGAATTTTAGATACAGCTTAATTTTCTCTGCTGCACCTCGAGTCCACACTGGCATAAAAATATATAAATAATCATAGACTGCTTGGGGATTTGAGGTTACCTCACATTCAAATCAATTCTTCCCAAAATGATATGTGAAAATCACCATAAACTATTTTTTTGACGATATGTTTCTTTGATTGTTGTGCTTTTCATTTGCACTCCCTGCAGATGGATGGACAACAGGACAGCTATCTCTCTAAAATGATTAACTTGAAAACAAGTAAAATACAAAACCAAATTTCCAAATTATATTTAAATGATATTTTCCTTTAAAACAATGAATGTAGCAGGATAACATGGGCATGATTTTTTTTTTTTTTTGCACTTATCATTGTCTCATGCTTATCTCAGAGAACACAGCAGCCAACAAAAATCCAACCTCAAAGAGTCCCAATTTATGAACAAACTTATCTTAAAGCTTTTGTGTTTGCGGTTTGTATGTGTGTGTGTGAGAGTGTACTGAGTCAAAAGAGAATGGCTCCTCCTTTCCTGCATAGAACAGATTCAATGAGAGCCGACGTCCAGCCGGGGCACACTGCTGCCAAGCAGGTTAAGGTAATATTAGTATATGTTCAACCTTTTGTTCCTATGAAAGTGATTTTATTGTACTAACATTTAGTTTTTTCAAAAAAAACTGATGAAGGAGCACCAGTGGCATTCACAAGTCAATAATGTTGATTAATTCACTATAAATAAGTAGCAAGCAGTGCAAATATTTTAATGCACTTGAAATAAGACTAAACTAACTTATAAGTAACCTTTCTGCAAGATATGTGAGCTTGTTTTAAGTCAATGACTCCTTCATATTGATAAAAATAACTTGTTCCATTGGCACATTATTTCACCTGTTACAAGACATTTTCCCATATAGAGACATCTGCCAGTGGAAAAAGTACTTTTCCTTTTATCAATATGACTTAAAGCAAGCTCCTTTACCTTGAAATGCTACTTGCAAGTTAGTTTTGTTTTATTCTAAGTGTACTAAGACAGTTGCACAAGAAATTAGACAAAAATACTTGCAGAGATTTTGTGTTGCACAAACATAAAACATTTGTGTAATATTAGTTATGTTCCTCAAAGGTTTGCAGACATGCATTCACATACTGTATGTTTCAGCTGCTGCAAGAGAATACATGCGTCCCCTTTGTGTCTTTGAGTCTGTATATATACACAGCCCTGAGTTTAGAACACAAAACGCCACCTCATGCCCTCTGTGCCCCTCCTCCTCTTCCCTGGCAGCTCTCACAAGATGCCCCTACCCCCGGCTTCCTGCCTCTAATGGCTGTCTCTGTGTGCCATCTCGGGAAGCCTGACATCCCCTCCAGAGGCAGAGGGCCCAGCGTTAATGGAAGCCATTGATGGGCAAAGAAAGCCTCCTTTGTGGTGCTGGGGGCAGGCGTGGGCACCCGTTTGCTCAAACACAGCTTCCCCTCCGCACACACTGGGTCGGGCGTTCAGAACTGAGTGCCAACAGCGGAGATCGAAAGACAGGAGCAGCAAAGTGCCCCCTTACTGGGGAAATGGCAAAGAGGGATGGGTAGAGAGAAGAGGAGGGCTGGTGAGAATGAGAAAGGGACGGTGACGAGTTGGCAAAGGAGCGGAAAGCAAAAAGGAAGCGGATAGGTGGGGATAGGCCCCAGCAAAAACAAAAGCTGAGAAAGAGCATTAGAGATTAACCAAATAAGGCAAATTCAATTGGTGCAAAGAAGAAATGAAAGGAAAAAAACCTGACGGAAATGGTGTAAAAACTTTGCAACAGGACTCAAAAGGCTAGAGAAAGGAAACCTGGAGAAAACGGAAACTGAGCAGCAAAAACAAAGAACCGGAGGTTGGGTTTGGCCTTGTCAATGAAGCTGGGTGGCCAGCAGGGATAAAAAACGATGTCATGGTTCTGGAGGTCCTTTTCTGGCACTGTACTTTCTGTCAGCCTCTCATTGGCTCACTCCTGTTTTGGTGATTTATGCCACCTGAATTGTTCTCCGCTAACAGAATTGTGAATTGAGGAAAAAGAGGGGTGCTGCCAGAGTGTCAAACCATGGTTATTGATACCCAAACAGATGTGTCCAGTTCAGAAATTACATCTGATTCCAAGTCCAGCTGAACTGATTTTTATTGCAGGTAAATGCTGGATATGCAATCCAGTGGTGTTGCGTCATCCAGATTAGGTCACGTCTTTACTTCTTTATCTTTAAAGAAATTGTAACCAACAAATCACAATGAAATTGTTCTGATATCATCCTTTAAAATGGACATTTTATCGCTTTCGAGACAAATGGTTTAATACAACTCTAAGATTGTTTGACTCAAGATCGCCACCTAATGGTGTAGCATTCCCAATGTCAACCTTCTCTTGTCTCCCTGCTGTGCAGCACACAGCCTCCTGCATTGTTCACTCTCCTAATTCATCGCAATAGCTCCTGCTGCTAATTTCCATCCGCTGGCAGCTTGCCACCGCCGGAAGTGGCAGCATGCATCACTTGTATCAATGCGCCACCGTGGGAGAGCAGAGAGAAAATAGTGCCATATTTGTCCCACTATGTCATCTGTTTAACACGCCTGAGAGGATTTCACACCGTAACCTCCTAATTAATATGCAGATGCCCCCCGACCCCCACCGCCCCGCCTCCTCCTCCATGCCTAAGACAAAGGTGTATTGTACGAGCAGCTTCTGTTTTAATTGCGTTCAAAAAGGAGCCATGTGAGGTATGTGTGATTATGTTTACTTTCTCTTTATAAATGCATGTGGAAGCTCAAAAGACATACAGTATGTGCACCTGGGGAGTCATAAAACATAAATTTTCATCATCATGTCCTCCTACACGTATGCACCTGTGTGTGTGTGTGTGTGTGTGTGTGTGTGTGTGTGTGCGTGTGTGCGTGTGTGTGTGTGTGTGTCCTGAATGAAGAAGGATCGAGATCCCATCGGCAGGGGAGTTGCTGTTGCTGTCCTATCCCACAGGAGGAGGAAAAAAAGTTGTTGCTTTTATGCAAATTGGCATCCGATGAAGGTTTTTTAGGGGAGCCACAAAGAGGGTTTGTGGTCGCAGTGCTGAGGAGAATGAGAGAGGTTAGGAGGGGTTATGGGGAAAAGACAGGGACAAAATTCCCATCGCTACACCCGGACCCATCATGTTGCATCCTTTCTCTGTTTGTTCCTTTTCCTCTCCCCTTTTTCCATCCTTCTCTTCCTCACATCCATGACCCGGTTATTAATGTGGTTGAGATCAGTGGCTCATTAATTAACAAATGCCCACCTTTCTTTGTTCTTAAACTCTTTTTCTCTTTTGATTGTATCATATTCCATGTTTTCTCCAACTTCATCTTTTATCAGTAGCATTTTTTCTTCTGGGATTTTTGCTGATGAGAATGAGATAATGTGCAGAACAATGGAGTGAAATAAGAGGAAGTGGTGGGTTGCCCAATAATAGTGTAGGCTTATCTTTAAATGTAATGGTCTTAACAGAATAAATTGTGATTATATGCCATGTGCAAAGTCGAGATATGGATTTTGCACTTATGTAACAACAAGTACTGCTGAACTGCTGGATGTTAAGGCTCCTGAGCTGCAACCTCCTGAGCTGATGCCTTGTCTTCAGAGGACGAGGTATCACTTTTAAAAGTCAAAGATGTATGATGCAAACAAGATATGATACTGCAGATAGTAAGTGATCTTAAGTCCGCTAAGTGAACTTAAATGACCATATTTATCACAAATAAAGAGCATAAGATTAAACATTTTTATGGTTTTCTTACTGTGAAATGTTAGGGGGGTTTCAGCAATAATTTCTGGACTTGAGATGGTTTTATTTGAAATGTCAACAAGTTCATCATTCGGTCCACTTCAATTCAGCTTGTGATTCCCAACTGTCACCTGTTTAGAATAGTTTTTGAACCATAATAAATGGAACACTGATCAACATAGTTTATGTTATAGTTGTTCACTATATGATGTTTTTCTTTTGTCATCATGTAAAGCACTTTGAAATGCCTTGTTGCTGAAATGTGCTGTACAAATAAGCTTGATTGGACTTGATGGATTCAGTAGGAACATGTATGTAGAGTTTTTTGGTGAATTTGTGGTGAACATAGTGTGACTTCATGACTGCTCTCCTTCTTTCATGGCATTGACTCAATCCCCTCTAAGGCCCCCCTGGTGAGGCTCCATGCTTCCTCAATCGGGTGCCTCAATTAACAGGGCACAAAGCCCCAGACCTCTCCCAACCTCTGCAGCCCCCTCTGCAAGGTCTGCAGCTCAGAGACATGCGTGTGTTGGAAGCAGGGGCAGTTGGGGTGACGGGGGACGCATGAAGGTGGTGGCAGCAGGGTCTTCAGCGCTCTTTGTTCCCCCAGTGTCCAGCTTGGCCCCGTTGCCCCTGATGTCTTTCATAAGGAGTGTGTAATAACTGCCTTTGTTGGTTTTTCCTCTTGTAATGAGTCCAGTGGGAGGCCTTGTTAGTGTGTGGGGTGCTCCGCCAGGGGACCTCGCAGGAACTCTGGGATTAGAGGCCGCCCCATTCTGCCCTAAATGTGATCCTTCACAGTAAAAATGCCAGTGTTGAATTAACACCTAAAAGTGTCTGTGCCCAAGTCAGCAGATGTTAAAGTAACACTTTTGAAAGTGTTTAAAGATTGAGACCCATTTTTTTTTGTTAAATTAACATTGGTCTATAATACTGAAATGGGTTTAAGAAAAGTTAACCTGTCATTCACGAGAGGACCCAAATTTGGGTTTACAGGGGTGTCAAACTCCAGTCCTCAAGGGCCGCTGTCCTGCAACTTTTAGATGTGCCTCTGCTGCACCACACCTGAAAAGAATAATTAGGTCATTAGCAAGGCTCAGGAGAACAGATCTACACAGGGGGGAGGTAATTAAGCCATTTCATTCCACTGTTTTTTACCTGTGGCACATCTAAACACTGCAGGACAGCGGCCCTTGAGGACTGGAGTTTGACACCCCTGTAAAATGACAACCTGTGAATGACAGGTTAAACTTTCCATTTCTGTGTATTGTTTTGAATATTTTCCACTGGATTTGATTGATATTGGCACCTTGTGGGGTCAATTATTTACTTTTTTAACACCACATTATGTTTTGTGATCAACACTGCACTGGTGTAATATATTTTAACACTAACACCATTGTAATACTAATGTGACACTCTGTATTGTTGAATTTAACACCAGCTGACTTGGACACATAGAGACACTTTTGGGTGTTAATTCAACACTGGCATTTTTACTGTCCATATCACAATGGTCCTTCAACCAGTGGATGAATTTGATGCTTTTGATCATCCGAATTGTGAATGCTGCTTTGTTCAATCTAAGGGTGTTAAATTTAGGCTTGCTTAGTCATCCAAGTTAAATTAAAGGCCTGATGTTTCTGTTGTTTCATAAAGAATGAGGGAAAGTGTGTTATAGCGGTGATATAATGACCTCAAGGAAGAAAGTGGCAAAAGATTTTTTGTGATAAAGCTGAAATTTATCTTGAATCTTTGAGGTTACATTTAGATACTTCTGTCTTGTTTGGGAACTTTTCTTAAGATTTTTTTGTTAGCATTTTTATTTTATGCATAATAAAAAAGGAGGATTAGGGCCACCAGAAAAAAAAAAATACATTGACTTTAAGAGCCGAATTCTAATTCTGTGTCAATCTATGTCAAAAGCCAATAATCAAACATTCTGTCCATTATATTGTTAGTATATGAAAAAATCACCTAACTGCTTTGTCCTAATATGATATGTAAACCTGCACTTTATCCACACTGAAAGCCTGTCCCATATTTATTTGGTAGATTTCAGTTTTGAGACCATATTTTTCTGGTGGTGCATAAACAATTTAAACAATTCTGATTCTGAGAAAAAATCAGATTTCTTTTTTTCAGTGACCCTAATTCTCTACTGTGGGCTGCAGGAACACCTCCATAAAACTTGCAATATAACTTGTAAAAATGCACAGCATCGCTAATGTTGCCATGTCTAAATTATAATTTCCAACTCAAGCCTGCTTTGACTTCAGGACGCCGTGGCTTCAGAAAATTGCAATTTATGGAAAATTTTCTTTCCAGTGAGTGTCCACATTTGTTCGTGAATACGTTGGATTCCGGTCATGGCGAGCGCTGCTTTCACACGCAGGATTTGTTGACCACAGGTGAGCTGTGAAAGAATTGAAGAGTTGTGGGGCCTGAAATGCACACAGCCTCCACCTTTGTTGATTTGGCATTCACAGGGCTAGCCATTTTAGAGGGGGAGGAAATTCAAGTGAAGCACTCCCATGTACTCCTGCAGCACTGGAGGCAATTTCCCCTCAGTCAAGTGGCAGAAACCCTCTTCAGCTGAACAACTTCCTGCATTTAGTGAGCACTCCCACTGACACCCCTGCTCCATCATCCCCCCTTCTTAGCTGGCATCAGTCACAACCTCTCAGCACGTCTCTGCTCCCTTCAGAAACGTGACAACAACAACTTTGTGTGGGGATATAATCTGCAACTAAATGAAAACCACACACCAAAATGTACTTTTTGTTTTACCTCTATTTTTCCCTCAGCACACGGTAACATCCATGATGTTTTGATGTTGTTTTTTTTGTTGTTTTTTTTTTTTCCAGAGATTAATATTTAGAGCTCACAAGCGTTGATTGGAGAGTTGATGGGGCTGTTCAAAATAATAACAAGAGTTAAATTAACTCTGAGTGTGAATTCCCAGATGCTCACACAAAGTGCTGATGTTTCTACTTTGAGTGTAATTAATGGTGAGAATCTTGCTGCAAAGGAGTAATTATGCAATCACAGAATAGCTGATAGATTTACATGTACCTTCATAAAGCCATGCTATGAGGTCTGAATGCAAAGACACGACAACAGACATCTAACAACAGTTTGGCATGTTCTGGAAACAAGATCTCAGTGATTTCAGTGTTTTAGTGTTGGCCTATTATGGCTTCTGCAGGGTTGCAAGCGAGCAGAGGGGTTCCCACAGGAGACCCGGTTGTCCTGAGGGAGCCTATTAATCTATTATGTTCACCTCCAGAACAGCGTTAAGAACAACAATCACACACAAGCCGGAGGCTGAGCCACAGGAGGCTACAGCTGCTTAGGACGGACCCTGTGTAGCTGCAGGGGCTGATCAGCACCGTTCCCACGTGCCCTGCTCACAGCCCACAGCTCACACACAGAGAAATACAGTGACGGGGTCAAGGCTAATACTGTCTTATTTAAACGTAATGAGGAAAACTGAAAAGTGATCTTATGACAGCATGGTTGGTTAGGTTGGAGGCACATTCTGAAAAAAGAGGTGAGATTTTGTGTAAAAATCTGCTCATAAAATATTCCAAGCCTTTCATATTTTTTCTGTTTTGTTTAACATAGTATATTGGGGCAGTTTTTACTTGAAGAAAACCTTTAATTTAATGCCATGGCATTGTCTCAGCTTATGGAAACAACAGCATTTAATACTTTTCTGCTAACAGAAATGAATTATTTTTTTTCTGCAGGTATGATGCCAAGCAAGCTCATCTCCTGAAGACATATTGGACACTAGAAATAATTACCATAATCATGATTATTTTTCTTTGCATTTTAATTAGCCCTATGAAGCTCAATTAAGCTCTTCAGTATGAGCGCCTATTCAGTAAACAGCTGTCCACCTGTCTTTTAGTTCCTGGGAAAAGGCTGCAGTGCCTGTTCACGCCGTGGCGCCATCACCACGCTGGGTGGGGGGTCAGGCGAGGCTGCTGCAGCCTGCAAGGGGCCCTCTATTAAACTAAAAAGGGAGGAATAATTCTGCAGGGCACAAGCAGCTCATCAGGATATGCAAATGGCTTGATTAACAGGACTAGAACCACAAGGAGATAAATTGTTAATGACAAACAACAGCAAATGCATCCAAGTCACCAGAATGTAACATTTTAAACAAGACTTTTCTTTTTTTTTCTTTTTTTTTTAGAAGAATATTATTCCCTCTGTCAATCCCTATTTGCTGTAATCTCATTCCCAGTGTTAATTGCCATTAAATGTTCATGTAAATTGCTTCTCAAAAAGCTTCACAATGAGGCCTGGCTCTTAGTTTTTCTACCAGCACCACCTAGTGGTCTCTGGAACACATTTACACCAGCAGCCAAACAGAAGGTGAGCTGTCCGTTTTGTGTGGACCTACAGTACGTCAGGATCGATGGATATGGGCAACAAAGCATCAAGCCTCACCATTCATGCCATGGCTTCTCCCTTAAGATTTACTGAATCCCCCATCTGCTTGCTTCTTTTTCATGTCGTCCTGCAGGAGGTCTGATTGAGAGCTGGACTTTAAAAAAAAACATATTTTTAATGAACCCTTTTGAAGCTGAATATTCTCCATAAAAATTCAGTTCTTATTGCAAAAACTCGTCAATCGTCTGGTGACAAATAGGACAGGACATTATAAATAACAAAAAATAATAAATTAAAACTTCTGCCTTTTCTTTATTTTCCTCTGGGGATGGCAAAGGATTTCCTCTACTTATCATCCATGACTGTATTGGATCTTTGTTCTGCTTCATAGCACAGCTGAGCTTCAGCTGAAGGCCACAGACGTATGGCAGGACATTTTACATTTTGCTTGTATTTTATTTTTGTTTTATTAATAATAATGTTATGGAAATTATTATTTTGGTATATCTGCACTAAAAGATGTGTCCTGTAGCAACATTATTAGCATCACACTTGAAAGAGAAAAGTATAACCAGTTGAGCTCAGTGTTGAGGGAATCAGATTGTAGTGGAAAAGTTCAACTTCTCAGAGAGTTGCTGCATTATAATTACTGGGATTTTTTTTTTTTTTTTGTAACAGTTCAGTATCTGCAGATGGAAAATATTTTTTTTGTGACACGGCTGAACGTAAACAGTGGAAACAGTCCAGATTTTATTTTAGTTTTCCAAAAATGGTAGTTTGTAAATCACTAATGGGTTTAAACCAGGTGTCCACTGAAAGCTGATCTTCAATTCAAAACAAGGACACAAAGCAAAGTTCTTTCTGTGAGTCTTAAAGTTGGTATATTATTAAGTGCCAACAGTTGCAATGATTTTTAATGGGTAAAATTCCTGAGCTTCCAGTGTTTTCTGATATATTCCTGCTAGATTTTAAATACCACATGACACAAAACGCTCTTTGAAAACTTTATTTTTAGCCCAAAACTATTCAAAATTGTACTTAAAAGTCTGTCTGTTCTTATAAATACAGTCAATGTAACAATGTTCCTGCAGGTGTAAGTCAATTTGGAAATCAATTTGAAGATTACCATGCAAATATGAAAGTGTACATAAGTAACAATAAGACTGACATGGTTTAATATGACGCAAAACTGTATACAATTCTAAAGTTAATGTAATCAAATGTAATGTACAGTTAAACAGCATTACCTCACAGCATTACATCTTTTCTGTAATTCAAAGAACATATAGAGTTACTTTAAAATAAACCCTATTAAAATGATCTAATTTTGTCTAAAAGAATTTAGCTAAATTAATTGATCTGGTTTCAAGTGTCTCTTTGGTTTAATCTTACTGTAAAAATATGTAATTATTTCACATTTGTGTTTGATGGACAACAACAAAGCAGTTTTTAATAAATGAAACATCCTTTATCAGTGCAGCGTGTTCACAGATGCAGCTCTAGATTGACCTCTAGTGGTTTTACTCATTCATTCCTGTTCTATTGACTTGGAAAAACAGGTAAAGTTTCAAATGTATAAACTGTTTGGCAGCTGGCATGAGTATAAAAAGTATTTTGTAGCCTGTAGGCTTTCAAGTGCTGTTAAAACCTCAGATTGGTTCTGTGTGTCTAACTGTTCATCTTCTCAGTTTCTTCCGTCCTCACAGCAGTTAGCTCTTCCTCAAAATGCTCTTCTCCTGGTACCTGAGAATAAAAAGTAGTAAAACTTTAAAATTACTGAAAATTGAGCATCAGGAGCTCTCTCACCTTGCTTTATAATAATGTGCATCATCTGTTTTATGTATATTTGCAAGTATTCCACACTTAAGTGCTGAAAATACATTTTTCTCATCTTGTTGCACTGTGATATTATTTTATTTATTTATTTATTTATTTATTTATTTATTTATTTTACATTGACAATGTCTTATTACACAATGTGAATAGACACATATAAAACTAAATCTACGGACACAACAAATAATAAAATGTTAACTAACAATGTTGTCTCTTTTTGGCAATAAAATCATAGAACAGATTTAAGTAGCTACTTCTAGAAATACTGATTTATACATCTGCATACAGGAAATAAAAAATGCATAAAATTATAGTAAAACTAACATGTCACACAATATACTTGTGGGTCAATAACAACAAATATCTCCAACAAGAATTGGTGAATTTGCTCCCCCTGGTGGCCAGATATCATACATAACCAGACCCAAAACGTCTAAAACACGTTTACAATTTTACAAAAACTAATGATTGCACTGAAAATCAGCCTTCAATGTCATCACCCATTAAATTACTTTTTGTGCAATTCCAATGGAACAGAATAATAACTGATTTTTTTTTTTTTTTTTAGATTTTTCTCACATCAAATATCTTCATCTTATAAATTAGTGTTAGATTTCATTGAATTATTTGATATTTTAACTTGATAAGCAGCAATGTGATTGAAAATGTTTTTCTGCAACTGACTGAATCTGTCCATACTTGGAGAAATAATTGCTGAATACCAGGGATGGGCAGTTATTGTATCATTTACCGTTACTGTGTTGAAAGAAAATCACATTTATGAGGACAAAGATTAACTTTATTGATGATGTTCTCAAAACCCCAAAACTGAAACCATGGTTAGGATTGTTACTTCCATGTGCAGGTTTTACAAAAATAATCAAATCAATATATTTGAAAATATGACAATGCAGTTAAATTTTACAGCATTGCAATCGCATCACTATATGTAACCGGTGACTAGCAGCCTATTTGATTTTTAGTGTTAAAGGATATTTTTGTTTGTTAGGCTCTGGCCATATGGAGCGACAGATATATTTACAAAAGATAAAATATATTTTAAAAAAATATTTTATCACCATTTTATCATTATCGCAATGAATGCCAGCAATTTCACGTTACAATCTTAATTCATATTAATATTTAATATGGATCATCATGCAGTAGGAATTACTGCATGATGTTATGCAGTAATTCCTACTGCATAACATCAGGACTAAAGAATTCCTAAGTTTTTCTGAGAATAAACATTTAATTTAGAATCAGCCAAGAAATTAAAGGGTGTTTATCTAAATAAACAAAAGTCATGTAAATACTTCTTCACAAGTTTGCCAATGGAAATTCCTCTACATATTGTACATTTCACGCAGTTAGACTCTAACTGTCTTGTTTTATCAAACTGACCTCCCAGTAGACACTGTCCTCAAAGCAGGCATTGTCACGAGGAGCTCCAAGCACCTGCAGCTTCAAAATGAAACCTGAGAGGAAGGGGAAGAGATGTTACTTCAGTTCTGGGCAGGAGTTAATATTCATCAGAAGATGTTTTGACGTATGATAATATATATTTTTTTAAAGTTAGCTATCAAGTTCCAAACAAAGTATATATTCCAGTTGATGAAATCCTGAGATTTCTTTTTAAAAATCACATATGCAGACTTGCACTTTCATTTGTTCCCCATAAAGCATATATTAGTTGACAAGTTTCTTTCTTCACATTAATTTCACATTAAATATGTCGCATTTCTTAAGACTTAAAAAATAAAATCAACAAAATCAGATTCAGAAAGAGCTTGTTCCCCTCTCTTGTTAAAGTTATCACATAATCTATGTTCTTTTACGTTTTTTCTTATTGTTATTATTGGATGTCCTTGAGCTGGTTTAAGTAGTTCTGCATCTACTTACCAACAATGAGTCCTCCAAAAATGGCAATAGCCAAAGTGATTACAAGAGAAATGGCTTGCATGCCGGCCTGATAAGTTGTCTCTCTGTCTCCACTCGCCACCTCAGGAAAAACCTTTTTCAAACTTACAACCAGACAGAAACAAAAATATGTTAGCTGATTGTTCAAATAAAGATCTCTTCTATCATGATGCAAGCTAAAGAGATCAAGTAGCAATGATTGAATAAAAAATATATATTGGATTTAGTGTTGCAACACGGAAAGCAAAGATTAATTGTTTACCCATTTCCATATACTTCCTTCGGGACCACGGCAGTAGTGACAGCCCCAACGATGGCCCCCAGGATGCCGGGCATGCCGTGCAGATTGTGAACCCCACATGTGTCCTGGATCTTTAGCTTCTCCTCCAGGATGGGCTGATGGGAAATAAATGACATTTGTAGAATGAAGCTTTGAAATGAAGAATTGAAACAACTCGAAATGTAAATGAAGTTAACTCAAAACTTTGATAGAAGGTCCTTCACATGTGTCTTGAAAATAAGAATTGGTTTGTAAACACAACATCATAATTTATTCTTACCGAGAGGTACTTATAGCCAAGGACAGAGATGATTCCTGCCAAAAACCCAACGATCATGGAGCCAAAAGGTGTGAGCATCATTTCACCAGCTGTTCCTGCTGCGACTCCTCCGGCCAGGGCGGCATTTTGAATGTGCACCTAAACATGGAGACAAAACACATGCTGAGGTCAAAGAAAAACAAAAAAAAAAGATATACCAGAGCTGAGTAGCACAATACTGAGTTGGTAGCAGCAAAGATAATTTTTTTTTGATTGTCTCCATATTTTTAATGAAGAATCTTATTTTCAATTCAGAAAATCTAGAAGTACTGAGAAACTTATCTTTCTATTTTCCAAGGTAGGTTTGTAATTTTAATACTCACCTTTTTGACACAAAACAAGTTTCCCAAAACACAAAATGAACTACCAGATATGGATTATGATGATGTCTTGTATATTTGCTTGATGATGGTCTTTATCTCATCTTATGTTTTTGTGGTGGAAAGCACTTTGAACTGCCTTGCTGCTGAAATGTGCTTTACAGATAAACTTGACTTGATCTGTTTTCAACAGCCAAGTGACTGAGACATGTTAGAAACCAGCTGCTTATTTAATTAATTTCCTCTCATGTTTGATAACCATCAGTGGAGAGGACTGATCTTGTGATGGTTTACAGCCTCATCTTGGAGTATGTGAAAGACAGCTGGAGATCTGATCAGCCTGCCAGCCATTTGGCTGAGACCCAATCAGCATTTTTTGAGGAGGTGTGCACCGTCAGTCCATTCATTCATTGGCTCTCAGGTATTGAGTAACAGTTCTAAACTCTGATAAGCATAAGAAGAACAAGTTAAGATATCACATCTTCCTTGTTTCCTTTTGGCTCAGTACTTTTCTGGCACTATTTTATTTGCTTCATTATTTTTTAGTTAGAAAACTCTTCTGCAAATATGGATGGATGACAGACAACATTCTCACCAAGGCTTTCATCTGATTTTCAGATGTCTTTAATTAACAAAGAGTTGAAAATAGAAATGGTGATCATGCATTATTACCATGTCCAGCTTTCCATCGTGAGCTGTGAGGGCCGACATGGCGTACGTTGACAGAGTGCAGGCTGCCAGGGAGTAGTAAGTGTTCATGGCTGTGCGGTGCTGGGGGTCTCCATGTGCCGTGACGGCAGAGTTGAAGCTGGGCCAGAACATCCACAGATAGATGGTACCTGTATTTACATTGAAGGTAAAGATAGACTTTAAATGTAGCAGCAGTGAAAGGAAATTGAAAACTAGAGTTTAAAATGTCTCTGTGGCTTGCCAAAGTATACCCTTTGAACTTCTCTATATTATTTTCTAGCCAGTGCTTCGTTGTAAAATGAAAGACTTTAAACATTTTTAACAAGCTGAAAATAAGCACTGGTACTGCAGATACAGCTTAGTGCATGACTTGCCTGTTTATATTTGCATTGTCAAATTAATATTTCAAATAATACTGCAGATTGGTCATTGAATATGAAGGTCTTAGCTCCTTCTGGGCAAGCCAAGCACATCAATAAGCCATGATGTAAGCTATTCCATTATATCTTCTGGGTGTTTATAGTTACCACCCATAAATAAGATGGATTTTATTTCTTGTTTTGAAGGTAAAGGAAGTTGAAAACAAATGCCTGCCAAACATTTTTATTTTGAAAAAAAAAAAAATGAACACCTAATTTTCTTTGTGTTTCAGAGGATTCAAGGGATAGATGCTAAAAGTCACAGAACAGTTACCCTGCATGCAACTCAATAACATCTTGTTCTTTGTAATTCGTGAAAAAAAGAGATGGGGAAACCACAAGATGTATAAACTCTGATTAAGTCATTTGTGTCTCACAAAGCTTATATTCATAAAGCATGTTGCAATCTTATGGGTCTGGGTGTAATTTTCTACGAAAACAATTCCTGTAGATGTTTGTTCTTGCATGGGAATTACCTATCATTGCGAACAAGTCAGAGTGGTAGACTGACGAGTTCTTGTGTTTGCTCTGCTCCAGTTTGGGGCGGTACAAGATTCGCGTCACCATCAAGCCAAAGTACGCTCCAAAGGTGTGGATGGTCATGGAGCCTCCAGCATCTCTAGTCTGAAACACGATTCACAGGATAGTTCA